ACACCTTCTTGAATATCAGCAGGTTTAATTTTGTGGAAAGAGGGCAGGACTTTGATTTATGAGGGAAACTCAGGGGTAAAGGACGACGATGACAACCAGAAAACAGACTCAAAAGCCAAGATGGCAAACGTGAAAGCTAGATGCGATGAAAGCTCGATGCTGATTGGCTGATAAAAAATTAACATCTTATTATTTTTTAGTCTGGTTCCCAGACCAAAAGATTGAGGAATAGTAAGGCTGCATCCGAATCAGCTGTCTAGAGCTAGGTCTAGGTCCGCGCCCATTGAAAATACGCGGGGACGCGCTGACAATAGACGTAGCCGTAGCTCTGGAAGCCCGTTTCGGACACGGCCTTAAGAATCTTTTGGTCTGAGAACCAGACTAACTTATTATTTTTAGTCTGGTTCCCAGACCAAAAGATTCAGGAGTAGTCAGAATCTTTTGGTCTGGGAACCAGACTAATTAATTTTTTTAGCAGCCAATCAGCATCGGGCTTTCATTATGTAGGGCTTTCACGCGTGTGAGAACTACAACATGCACGTCTGACTGCGAAAAAAGGTAGGAAAGTCACATTTTCTTCGAAAGTGCTTTCAAAACTACAACTAACATGAGTTTATATGAAGAAAAAAGACTGCTTTAGCCTGCAAAAGTCACTTTGGTACTAATCAGTCATTTGCAAAAGTCAGTTTTGAACAGAACTTGTAAAAGGTGTCCTAAAAGTAAGGATTACCCTAGTCCGAGTAACTTGGACCCAACTTATCGCCTTTTTTAACATTTGGACATGGTCTGGCGATAGTGGGGTCCAAGCTAATACCGCGACCTGGACAACATCATCCTGTCACTGTCCCAAAAACCAACATTTTCCAACAAAAAACATCAGATTTCACCTTCAAAACTGCCTCCAAATGACTAGATATGCCACCTGAGGTACAAGTAGACATCGATAATTAAGATGGTTGTACTGAAGTTTACTTACGATCCGGAAAAAAAGTGAAATTTTCCGTTCATTTCGGAGAGCTCCCCTTGCGATCTTGAACACGTTAAATTTCCGATCGTGTTTAATGTTTGAACGACGCGATTTCTTCTACATGCCCAGCGTACATTCGATGGTCCCCCGTATCCCGAGTGCGATTCCGTTACCGAGCGCGCGCGATGCATCGATTATGATAATGAGTCACGTTTGTAAACACATACATGTGCATTTCGAACTGTAAAAGGGAATCGGGAACCAGCTTGAACTGGTACCCACCATAAAAGCTGCGCTAGTTCCCGACTCCCTATTATCGTTTGAAATGCACATGTATTTACAAACGTGATCCAGTCTACTCATTATCATAATCGATGCATCGCGCGTGCTCGGTAACGGAATCGCACTCGGGATACGGGGACCATCAAATGTACGCTGGGCATGTAGAAGAAATCGCGTCGTTCAAACATTAAACACGATCGGAAATTTAACGTGTTCAAGATCGCGAGGGGAGCTCTCCGATATGAACGGAAAATTCACTTTTTTTCCGGATCGTAAGTAAACTTCAATACAACCATCTTAATTATCGATGTCTACTTGTACCTCAGGTGGCATATTTGGAGGCCGTTTTGAAGGTGAAATCTGATTTTTTTTGTTGGAAAATGTTGGTTTTTGGGACAGTGACAGGATGATGTTGTCCAGGTCGCGGTATTAGCTTGGACCCCACTATCGCCAGACCATGTCCAAATGTTAAAAAAGGCGATAAGTTGGGTCCAAGTTACTCGGACTAGGATTACCCCTACTTTGGACTTAGACGTTTTTCCCCTGCTCCCCATTCAACTCACGTTGTCTCTGCCTTCGTTATTTTCCAACATGGATATGGATGCTTCGTTCTCAAAAATATTTTCCTCCGCTAAAAATAAAGTCCACCCTGTATCCGCTTCCTTGCACCTACTTTGGACTTAGATTTATTTAAGGTAGTGTATATTTTGCCGGAGGTAACGCCGGCAAACTAACGTTTACTAAAGGTTTGCCGGCGGCATCCATATCAACAGAGGGCGCTGTACTCTTTAAGATAGGGCTGAATTATAAATATGTATTAAATTCCCACCAAAGTTGTGTAGCACAGTTGGTGCAGTGGTTAAGCAGAAGCTCTTGTGAGTGGGATGTCCCGAGTTCGAAACCTGACCCCCGCCACAATTTTACTGTTTTTTTTCCCATCCCCAATTAAATAAGAATATTCTTCTTATATTATTTTAATATGAAATTTTGAAATGTAGATGCTCTGTGGTGCATTTTAAAGCCTCCTGGCATGCCTGGGCCAACTATTGGTCGAAAATGTTTTGCAATTTATGCATGTTTTTAAGTTAACTTTTCCTTCATATTGGCTTGAAACTGCCTAAATGGCCAACTTGTATATGAAAACTGGGAAATTCGACCACGTTTTCCATATTTTAACTCCTTACATGCCTTACTGCAGATGATACATATCGTCATCGCGTGTCCCGGCTTCCGATCGAGTCGCCTAATTTCTGCCCATTAACCATGTGTTCCATCCAAATCCATTTCCACGGATTCGTAACCTGAGGATCGGTCTTGTCAATGTCCGTATCAAACTCCGAACCTCTTTGGATAATAACACATTTGTGTTGCACTGACATCTTGCGGAATTTATAATGTCAAAATACGTTCGAAACATTTGAAACGACACACTAACGTACGTATCAGCATGCAGCGGAATACACGTACGTACACGTACGTACACGCAGCAAGCAGGATGCGTGCATGAAATGCACACATGAACTTTGCCCCGCATGATGCCCTCTACCGGCGCCAATTTACTAGTCTTATTTCAAGGCTTTATATTTGCAACAAGACGATGTTTACAGCGAGTAATTGTGGAGATCATTGCATGTCACTACATGCATAGACACAGGTACGGCCGCAAAGAGTCCCAACGCGCTTCATGGCGCATGTGTGAATATTCATATTTATCTGCAGCCAATCACAGCGCAATGACTGTTGGTTCCCCAGATGCTGTTTACATGTTGTACACATGCCGTACGCGGCTTCGAGCTGAAAAATGCATGCACATGGCATCGTATAGTACACACGTACATGCACATGTACGTACATGTACGTATGTACAATGTACATGTACATTGAATACTCGCTTGCACGCACCGTATGTTGTAGAGAGCGGATCGCGTGCGTTCGGCGGCGGCGGAAAATAAAATAAAATCAATGCTTACGCGCGGGGGAAAAAGCGGGGGGAAATCTGGACCATCGGAAGAAAAAAAGCGGAAAACAAAATGTGGCACGCTGAACAAAAAAGCGGAAATCCGCTAAATAGCGGAGATTTCACACCCCTGGTTAATACAAAAATACAATGATAATATTGGCATGGAGCCAGACTAAAATTTGTCACCTGAAAATGTTTAAGTACAAAAAAACAGTAACTGCGCATGTTCAGTGCATATCCGGCAAACTAACGTTTACTGAAGGTTTGCCGTCTCCGGCAAAATATCCACTGCCTAATAACCCCTGCTCCCCATTCAATTCACGTTGTCCCTGCTGGCCGCATTTCTTAATACAGGGAAATAGCGCCCTCTTTAGACCCTCCAGCGCTCAAATCCACCCCGTATATTGTATCCGCGTATCCACTTCCCGACATCTAGGCCCTACATGTATACTCAGACTCCCTATTATCGCGGCATCCCTATTATCGCGGCATGGGAAATTTCTCTTTTTACAGTGTCAAAACTCCTTCAAGTGGCGATTTTTATCCAGTTCACCGGTCATCAAGGATTTTCTACCGAGTTGTATAAAAAGGACGATTAAAAAATGTTGTGTCTTTCGGGACTTTTAACGATTTTAATAAATATTAACGTTTTCCAAAACTTGCAAAATTTTCCCTCACCGTGTCTGCTAAAAGGTACCGTTTATATTTTAACATAAATCTTAAATTGCGCTCTGTCCATGAAAGTTCCATTGTCTGGTACCCATTCTTCAGCTGCAAATGTAAAATGAAGTCGAACGACGATATTTGCAGCGCGAAATCGTAACAACTTTTACGGGATCAAAATAAGCACCGCGCGTTAGCGAAAATAAAACGGCCAACCGTGTAAAGTGAATGGCGCCCTCAATCGCCGATCAGTAGACTTGCCTCAGGGATTTGTGTTCTCCTTTCGGGGGAAGGGCAGGGTCTTAAGAAATCATCCTGCAGACATTTTGTCTTTAATCAACTTGAACGTTACGGGGAAAATATCAGACTTTATTCAGGGGGTGTTTTGGTCAAACATAAACTATGAACAAAAAAGTTGGGATCATTATAAAAACCACTTCCCGCATACCGCGATAATAGGGAGTCCACCTCCGTTCGCACACGCCGCACATGTCTATTTTCACCGGCATCGTACACGGAATAAAACACACCACCCGTCAGATTTTTTTATATTAATTTAAAAAGGAAGAGTTATACTACACATAAGACAGGACAATTCTGGAAGGTTAGTGGGCAATCTCTATTTCCGAACGAGAAACGTGATAAGTACCGCGATAATACGGCGTTCCATCCTACTTTGGACATTTCTGCAACATTTTCCGACTGCGTAGCCATTTATTTTTAGGGGGTAATTTTCGCGTGGCGGGGTATTCTTCAATTACTCCCTTTTTATAACATCTTCATGTGAGAATAAGTGTTTATAATGTATCTCGTGTAGTAAATTGATTTTATAGCAGATGTGTGGTTAAATCTAGCAGATTTGTGCGGTAAGTGCGTCTAGCAGAATTTTGCCATAACTTTACGGTCACCCGGCCTAGTTGTAGGGGTTACTGACCATGCTGCTGAAACGTTCGCATCTAACATTACATATTTCTCCAAAATATCACAGTTTTAAGTCTTAACGGTGAAAAATAAAGCTCCTTACAGTAACTATGAAGGATGATATTATCCATTAATGTATTTTAAGTGAGAGATGGCCAACCATAAAGGTAATTTTAACCGATTGAAATCCATCAAAAATTGTATTACCATTCTCGAAACTCGTCTTCTTGCGAAAAGGACCAATATACCCGGCCCCCGAAATAATGTGTGTCAATACGTACGTACGTACGTACGTACATGTACGTATAGCCCTCGGAGTCGGGATGCCAGATATATTAACGGGAACGAGGCAACTTCGTCCCCAGGGCGTCGAGCAGTACGCGCCCATGGCTGCCAACTCTCGCGCATTGAGCGTGAGACTCACGCATTTCAGGTTTTATCATTTCAACACCATTCTACACAATAAACTACGGAAGACGGATAGTGCCGCTCAATGAGTGTGAATATATTTTTTTTGGTGCGTGTGAAAATATTTTTTTTTGTATAGCGGCCGCCACTTATTATGTGGCGGCCGCCAGATAATAAGTGGCGGCCGCCACATAAGTCGTCATAATAAGTGGCGGCCGCTGTACAAAACTTTTTCACACGTACAAAAAAATATAAAAATATATTCACACCTTTATATGTGGCGGCCGCCACTTATTATCTGGCGGCCGCCACATAAAATAGTGTGAATATATTTTTTTTTTGTACAGCGGCCGCCACTCATTATGACGACTTATGTGGCGGCCGCCACTTATTATCTCGCGGCCGCCACATATAATAAGTGGCGGTGTGGCAGGTAATTCTGTCCCCCGTGGTAAATGTGTCCCCCCCGGACAGATCTACCGGGTCGTGACCCGGTAAATCTGTCCGGGGGGGGGGGACACTTTTACCTAGGTAAATCGGTCCCCCTGCACGATGTTAAACGTGTCCCCCCTGGTAAATGTGTCCCCGTGCAACGTCACAAGTCTAGCACCCAGACTGTATATTAGTGAAGTTATTAACTGTTTTTGCGCGGCGCCTTGCTAAATTCGGGAATGGTGCTTACGTCAAAGCACAACTCCCGTTTTGATGACGACTTCGGGAGCGAACGATTTGCATGGTGGGCGTGCGCGCGATACCGCACCTACGGGCCGCGCCAGGGCCGGGGACGGGGACAACATTGCACAATTCTCCTCATTGAAGTCCGCCATGACAGTCACACGCGTATATCGGCGGCTGATGCGCGTGCGCGCTAGCGATAGGTTGAGTATTACTACGCGTGCCTTCTTGCAGAAACATAGATCAGTTGATTAACATCTAAACGTTAATTTCATTTTGATAATTATTGATGAAGGGTGGAAAAATCTAAAAATGTATACCTGTGCGCTGAATTTATTATAATAACATCAATATAACAACTTATGCGTGCAAAACCAGGGGGGACAGAATTAACTGGAGGGGACAGAATTACCTGGAGGGGGACACAATTAACGGGACAGGGGGGACACTTTTACCTAGGTAATTCTGTCCCCCCGGACACTTTTACCGGGGGACAGAATTACCGTCCACAGCGGCCGCTGTACAAAAAAATATTTTCACACGCACCAACAAAATATATTCACACTCATTGAGTGGCACTATCCGTCTTCCGTAATAAACAATCAAATCATCCTGATTTTGGTATTTGCGCATGCAGCAGCAACCGGTTATGATGACCCAATAATTTAAATACACTGAATCTTTCAATACTTTGAACCTTTAAAGACTTGATGGTGTTTACAGAACTAGTATCATCTATTATTTAGGCGTAAGAGCCTTTCATTGAGACACATTTAAGTAATCAATTAATTATACAGAATTATACCTCGAGACAACACTCGTCTTTTTATTATTATTATTATTATTATTTATTCGACCAAAATTACAAACACAGAGATGGGCCAGGGGCAGCAAAAGTAAACATACTGTGGTCCGCAGACCTGTTGCCCCACATCAAAGTGCTTAAAAATCATATATAGAAATATATATAGAAAATTAATATAAAACATACACAAATATATAAAGAAAAAATAATATAAAACATACACAAACAAAAGGAACAACACGTCATTAAACAATGTTTAAAAGACAAAATTCACACAAAATGATTACAAACAGTTAAATAAAAAAAATAAAAAAATAAAAATATAGAAAAATAAAATAAAAAAATACCACTCTATATAAAAAATAGAAGTAAAATCACGACTGAACAGCCATTGGATAAAAAAAAAAAAAGAAAAAAAAAAAGAAAACACCCACCTAACAGTCATTGGATAAGAAAAACCCCAGTCCCAACCAGAGAAAAAAACAAGAACTGCACGAGAGGTAATATAATTGACGTGATTAACCCATGTAAGATGGCTGTTCAGAATGATACCAAGATACACATGATCTCTTTCACAACTTGAAGTATCACCGAGTCAAGTTTATATTCAGGCTCATCATAATTTTTACTACAGTTGAATCTAACTACTTTAGTTTTAACGGGATTTAAACGCATTTTGTTCTTCGCACACCACTGAGCCATTGTATCAAGATCATTTTGCAGCAGAATTTGATCGTAAGGTGTAAAAAAACGGTCGATAAATAACAGTATACATCAGCAAATAATTGCAAGTGTCATGATTATTTCTAAATATTCGTACCACTTTTTATATTATGTTTAATCTCATTGCTGTGATCACTACCAGGTACGACAGTGTTTTTAGTTACGATCGTTCAATAATTTGAACCTTAAAAACGTTTTGATAGAGACAATATTTACGGAAGTTAACTAGGGTCTATCATTTAGGCGTAAGAGCCTTTCATTTCATTGAGCACATTTGCGTAATCAATAACAGAATTAACTTTGAGACAACACTTGTCTTTACAATTGTTATGGTCATTTCTGAATATTCGTACCACATTTGATATTATATTTGATCTCATTGCTGTGTAGTAATGTGAACCTTTTGATATAAGCAAGCTTTTCAGAACTATCCTTTTTGGTTTTGTACAATACCAAATACCTTCCGCTCAGGACATATCACGCATACTATGGTGCACGTCTACTCAGACTTGCTCGCGTTTTGAACGCTAGTACTATTCTAGCATCTCTCATTCGATCTAGTAGATCCGAACTTTATGAATCTCAGTACTGCCAACGTGCAAATCTCGTTTCAATACTTCCGTCAGAAACTACTCTGACCACACCTTGGTTGCAAGTAAACCACTACTCTAGTATGCTGAAACTTGTGGATTTCATTTTTTCATTTAAACCTTGATATAAGCAAGCTTTACAGAACTATCTTTTTGCACGCTGTTGGTACACACTGTAACCGGCCAACTTTGGATCGTAAAAATACCAAACAAACATGGATGGAATTAGAGAATTTCTGCAAATTAATTACCAGAACATGATTCCTATTTTCTATGTATGTATATTCCGTTTCAATATATTCATAACGAGCGGGTTGTTCAGCTCAAACTTGTTGCCGAAACAGCGGAAGTGTGTTTCTGCAACAAGTTCGGCCACAGCACCGTGCAGTTATATTATATACGGCCAGCCTAAGTGCTGGCCGAGGCCGTCGTGAATAACCGTGACACTGAGCATATGGTGGTGTGGACGACTTAAATTCTCCATTATTTTACCAATCACCTACCTTAAATAGATTTTTGAATTAGTTGAGGCATGGAGGAATAAAACAGGCATAGTTTTTATCACCTTTGATGGCCACTCTCTCTTTTTCCGACCAACCAACCCTATATTGGAAGGCATGTAATCGGAAGCAGAAGTATTTTTTCTTCGCCTTAATTCCTTAATTTGAAACATACTTACAATCCTAGTTTTTCCAGTTCAGGAAGTTTGTGAAAATGTTCGTTGTATAAATATTATAAATCTCCTCTGAATTCTAAGGAAAAAAGTACACACAAACAAATTGTTGTGTCACTTGACTCACTTTTGGACGATTTTAGTGAGTCATAGTACATTTGACTCGTATTTAACACCATATGCATCGCATCAGACTCACTGAAATTTACGTAGCGAGTCAAAAGGGCATTGACTCACTTAGAATATTTATTGTTGACTCACTTGTCCCTTGAAAATGAGTCTGGTTTGACATATGACTCAGTACCAAGCTGGCACAGAGTCATCCCCGAGCCCGTGCGGGCAAGCACAGGAAACCCGTTGTTTGCATCAATCCGCCATTGTTTTTGTCGCGTAGTAGTGGGAGCCAGAGCTCTTTCTTTTTCTTTCTGTTTTAAGGTATTTTCATGTTCAAAACGCTGCTATCGTGTTGTTAATAACTGAATACAATCTACCCGATTCACGGTAGTGTTTTAATTCCTTGTTATCAAGCACTGTTTGCTGTGTGTAGCCAAGCCTAAATTACGAAAGTGGCTTTGCCGTCGTACGCCTAGGTTTAACGTTAGTACTAGGCCTACATTGTGTTAGACCTAAATTTGAGCGTCGCATGCGCGCATAAATATGCAATTTGACCCTTCGTGAATTCGAAATGGAGCCTGAGCAAGTAACGGGATTTACAAAAAACAGATAAGTTTTACAGATTTTCCTACATTATTACGCTTTTCAACGAAAAAAAATAAATTTATGAATGGGAATAAAAGAGTGATGACTCAGTCTTAACGGCCGTTTAAAACATTACAGGGTCGTGCCCGGCCGTGATGACTTGCAGGTCACGCAAAATCTATCCAATCAGAGCGTTCGCTCGTACCCCCACCCTGCAAACAGGACGCTGGGAAGGGCTCCGGGAGTGATGAACTTAAGATGTGATTAGAAAGATTCTGCAAGTCATCACGGCCACGACCAGGCTGCAAGGTTTTAAACGGCCGTTAAGACCGAGTCACTACTCTTTTATTCCCATTCTTAATGCTTATTTTTCGTTGAAAATCGTTATAATGTAAGAAAATCTGTAAAACTTATCTGTTTTGTAAATTTTAAATTCCCGTCACTTGCTCGGGTGTCGTTTCGAATTCACGAAGGGTCAAATTGCATATTTATGCGCGCATGCGACGCTCAAATTTGTCCACATGGCTGGTCCACAATGAAAAAGAAATCACATCCGGTATGGAATGTATGCATTTCTATGACAAAGCTTTCGTATAGCATTTGCGCGCATTAGCTAACTGCGGTCTTAGGCTACGTCTATTGTCAGCGCGTCCCCGCGTATTTTCAATGGGCGCAGACCTAGACCTAGCTCTAGACAACTGATTCGGATGCAGCCTTAGTAAAACAGCTGCAGCTGGATGCT